CCCCTCCTCCCTTCCCTATTTACAAATACTTTATTTCCATTTTTCTCATGTTTTTTTCCTTTTCCCTCATTTCCTTTCCCCTACCCTTCCCACTTTCCCTACACCTTTAGCCCTTTTCTTCCTATTTCACATTGTCAATTATACCATTAGGATCTTCTGTACCATTATAGTTTTTCACACCAGAGAAACTATTTGGTATTTATGCATGTGTGACTTATTTATTTCACTTAGGAGTATATCCTCAATATGGATCCATGTTCCTATGAATGACTCTAATTTCTCATTCTTTATGGCTGAGTAGTATTCCACTTTATAGAAAAACCACATCTTCTTTATCCAGTCTCCAACTACTAAGGCCTTTAACTCCAGCTTGCTGTAACTGCTATGCATGCGTTTGTCCCGTGTGCGTGTGTGTGCTCGCTTGTGTATTCATATCACCAAATAAGGACATCTTATTCGTAGTTGAGCCTTTGTCTCACTGGTTCTTTCTTAGACAAATATGCAACAGTTCAACATCCAGAAGAGAATGTATCAAGTTTTAAAAGAATTGAGAAACAAGATCAGGCATTTACTTTTTCCTTCCAGATGAAAACAATGAACAGTGCATAAGCAGAAGGATAATCAATAGGGACCAAAAACATATTCATAGAGGAGATTACCTCGTCTTTGTAAGCAAAATGTTCTTTAGTCTTAGGTTAGTTGAAAACCACTGAGACAAGTCATAGATAATAAATACCTAATAATATGTGATAAGAAATATTACAGACCCTCATATTCTATAACTACCTACAGTTCTGAGTCTTAGTAGGTCTCTCAGTTACTTTATTTCTCTGAACGATGCTGTGAGGAAGACGACACATTTCTTCTTAATTTTTTATTTTCCCGAAAATTAAGGGAACGGAAGCCATTGTGAAAAACTGAGAGATTAGTGGATCCTGGAGATTTGAGGGGCCTCGGTGGGTCAGAGAAGGAGAAATCTATTACTGAAAGCTGTAGATATATAACATCTGGAGAGCATGTTTTCTTTCTGGTATTTAGCTCATGTCAATATCACTAACCACTCTGAACTGCTCCTTTGATAACTGATCATCACCATCCTTTAATATAATGTGAATAAATGCAAAATCTTGATCCAGTTTTGTCTAGGTTCAATGCGCAGCTCTGCCATTTTGATTTATGTAAACTTCAGGATATTACTTCCTCCTCAGTTTTTTTCTGTTAAATGGGAGAGACATTCTATGAGGATACATCCTAGAAAAGTTCCTGACATGTAGAAAACACTTTAAATTGTTTTTATTATTGTTGTTTGCTTTTAATTTTGTTTTGACTTCTTCTGATACAGTGTTGTCTTGGCGAGCAGATGAATATCTCTTGGTAAAAAAGTCTTAGCCAGATATTCTGGTCGTTAGCCACTAGTTGAGGACATGGTCAGGTTTCCTCTAAGGTGTTGATCAGGTGTCCACTGAATTCATAGATTTTGTCAAGTGTCTAATAAAAGTTCAGTAAAATAAACTAGAGTCATTCATAGGAAAATGGATGCATATTGGGGCCATTCTCTTAAGTGGAAATAAATAGGACACACATGTGTAAATACTGAATAGTTAGTTTCTTTTGTGTGAAAAACTAAAAGTATAAATAAGATTCAAATTGTATAACTGATAATGTGAAATAGGAAGAAAAGGGCTACCGTTGTAGGGGAAGTGGGAAGGGTAGGGGAAAGGAAATAAGGGAAAAGAAAAAAAGGAGAAAAGGAAAAAATGGAAACAAAGTCTTTGTAAATAGGCGAGGTTGGAGAGGGTGCAGGGAGGGCAGGGGTATGAGGAAAAATGAGACCTGTCACGTAAAGGTACAAGATCTCAGTGATGAATGGAACTGTACTGTGTACCTAAAATGTACCAATGAACTCAATGAGAAAACAGTTCAGTAAAATAGATACTTAAAAGAGATGAGTGCATTTTAAGAGGTCACTTCTCAATTTTCAGTTTGAGTCTTAACTTCATGACTGATCAATGGTTAAGCAGAATTTCCAATTCTTTAACAATTATTTCAGAACTTTTAAATGATGAATGAATGACTACAATTTCTCTTTTCGAGGGGATATTTTTTGTTGGGCTTCTTCAGTAAAGTCTCATTCACAGTTATAGGTAAAGGAGCCAGAGATTTCTATCAACTTTTGTGCAATGCCTCTAATATTAAGAATGTAATTTTTCCTAGGATCACTTGTGGCTTTTACATCTTACAAATACTTGTGATAGCTCCCTTCTTAGGTTGTAACTGCAGGTGTAGTTTCATAAAATATTTTCACAAATCTCAGTTTGTGGATAAAATTCCAAAGAAGATGGTTATTTGAAGAGATGATTATGTAAAAAATAGATAGTAAAATTTTTAGTCATATATTTTCCACTAATATAATATATTCATTTGAACTGTCAGCATATTTTCCTAACAGTGAATCTAATGTGAGGCTGCACAGAAAACATTTTGTTTCTGTGTGGTTAGGGCTTTCTCAGTCTTCTTACCCATATATAAAAATGAATTTTTTTCCAATCCCATAGAGTCACTCTTCAAAAACAAGATAATTATCACAAAGAATGAATTGTATCAGTTGACAATATATGATAATAACAGATACTAGGATTTTCTGAAACTTGTGGGCTTGGAAACAAATTTTTATTTAA